CCCCCCCTCACCCGTGTACAGATTAAAAATGCAGTGTGGCATTTAAAGATCGATCTTGTCTAAAAGTACACACGAGTGACCACGAGTGACCACGAGTGACCACGAATGACCACGAGTGACCACGAGTGACCACGAATGACCACGAGTGACCACGAGTGACCACGAATGACCACGAGTGACCACGAGTGATTTCTGTGTTTAAAAGTCCTAAAATAATAATAAAAAACCATTTTAAGGTGGCTCCATAGGATTTTTGCATTATACTACACTTTTGTATCCAGAAAACGCCTGTTTCTTCACTTTACATGACACGAAGACAAAATTTATTGGACACATTGACAATGCTCTCCTGAACATTGCAATGCGCTACTTTTGCGTAGAAAGTCTGTTACCATGGCAACAGTGTGCTTAGGATAAGGCTCAAAATTTGTCTTTTTTCGGCCATTTTAAAAATCCTTTCTGGAAATTTTTTTTAGTTTTTCGACTATTGTACACGTCAGTCTACAGGAACATAGCAAAGCATCTGAAGTTGGGGGGGGGTTGTCAGAGGATTTTACCTGTAATTTGAATTTTTAATTAATAAATATTTACCTAAAGTGTAATAATTATAATAAAGCTTCTTGTGATAATGACTTGCACCGTCGTACTAAGTTTCGGGAGAAAACGGGGGTTTGGGGTACTCCCCCCAAAATTGTTCCATTTTTGAAGCTCTAGGACTGCAATTCTAGGACTGCAATTCTTACAAAAATGGTTATCATTTCACACAAATAATTACTTTATTACGCAAATTTTACCTGAAAATATCAAAATTTGTGTGTGTGGGGGGGTGGGGGGGTTTGGTTAGACGTCACATCTCGCAAAAAATGCCAAAATTAAACCTAAATTTCACTCTTTTCCTTCGGTAAATTGTTTTAAAACTTTGCACATTTCTTAATATCGGCTAAACAAGCTCAATATCCTTTTTTTCTTAAAATTTTATTGAAGGAAATAATCTAAGAAACGTTCCATAAATTTTTTTAAATTGAAGAAAAAAATCATTATACGAGGACTGATCTTTTGTGCAAATTTTAAAATTTTTAAAACGGCCGGAAAAAGACAAAATTTGAGCTTAATTATCCAAAGCACGCTGTCACCATGGTAACGAACTTTCTGCGCAAACGTAGCACATTGCAATATTCAGGAGAGCATTGTCAATGTGTCCAATAAATTTCGTCTTCGTGTGATGTAAAGTGAAGAAACAGGCGTTTTCTGGATACAAAAGTGTAGTATAATGCAAAAACTCTATGGAGCCACCTTAAAATGCTTTTTTATTATTATTTTATGACTTTTAAACACATAAATCACTCGTGGTCATTCGTGGTCATTCGTGGTCACTCGTGGTCATCCGTGGTCACTCGTGGTCATCCGTGGTCACTCGTGTGTACTTTCAGACAAGACCTTTAAAGATCAGGAGCCACGAGTTTGAAATAAGCTAGCTTTTACGTACTATTTATAAACCGAGTGAGAGGCCTTTATCGGTGCGTATAGACGCGGCTATAGGCACCGATAAAGCCCAATCACGAGGTTTATAAATGACTTCTTAAATTCACCTTTTGTTTTGGGTCCCAAAGAAATAATAAGAAATGCTAACTACAACAGTTCTATTGTTTTACGATTCTTCCATTCATTGATCAGCCAAGCAAATTAATGACTGGATTAATTATCAAGTCATACAAGTCGTTAAACGGAGATTTCAAATGAAATTTGAACATATTTGACTTGTTTTGTTAATGAGTCGGTTTCGAAGCGCTCGAACTGCTGAAGAGGAGCAAACGTTGCTCGAAAGATCGATGCCGCCAAGTACAAGATACGCGAGAAAGTGGGCTTTGACGATTTCTCATTCCTGGAGAGCTGCTAGAAAGGTTAAAGAAGTGAAGATCGACGATGGTGGTCATGAAATTGATGATATTGGCCCAAACCAGACATTAACTACATCGCTGGCGGAGATGAATGAAGCGTCTTTAACATTTTAGTTAAGCAAGTTTGTTGGGTTTAAAGAGTTTAAAGTGGTGTGTAATAAAAAACGAAATGGTTGTTAATCCCGTGCTTAAAAATTGTAACATTACCTTTAACTTTGGAAAATAAAGTTTTTATTGGGCCTTATTGCCGATTTCTCGAATATTTGAGTTTTTATTAGGAACAGATTAATAAGCATTTTGTTAAAGAATGCTTTATAAAGGTACATGTACCTTTATCATAAAAGTACATGTGGTCTTTATATGAATTTTAAATCTGCACACACCGATCTATATCACGGTATGTAGGGGTCATCATGTGACGAGATTTTAAGAAATTCATTGGCTAATTAGCTCATGAATTATTCATGAATTTTAGAAAATACAATACAATACAATTTAAACACGGAAGAGTCTTCAGTAATAGGCCTTACCGATTATTCTCTTTTACTCAATGACCTCGTTTCCATGTTAGCTTATTTTACCATGTCAGGGGCAGATAAAGATTATATTCCCATGTTTTCCTGGACGAGGCTGGTTCTTGCTGTTCTTCGGCTCAGCAACAAAGTAATTTGCAACCTTACTAAGCACAAAACACGAGTAAGTATTTGGCACGAAAACGAGGCATGAGAACGATTTGGCATGAGAACGATTTAACCTTTCGTATGTTTCTGGGGAGAGTTTTCCACAATACTGCTCCGCTATAACAAAAGCTTCGTTTTGAGTAATTTGTTCGCGGATTGGGCAAGTTATTCATTTCAAATTTCGTATATTATAGTCCAAGCCACGAACAGAAAAATAAGCTTGTAGATATTAAGGTAATTCCGCAGTAATTGTTCCCGAAATGAGAATGTGCTGAAACTTCCCAGGCATGGAGTTTATGATATACTTAAAGTAAATCACACAAAAAAGTCGGGGTCACCGAACTCGTTAAGAAGATATGACAATCACAATATACCACCTTCACCTCAATATGGCGCCATCTTGACGCTCATTACGAGTAACAGCAAACTCACAACACCCCGATATTTATTGACGTTTTTAGCACGGATTTAGTTTTGTAAACCTATCTTGTAATTATTTTTGAAAAAAATATTGTGTTTTGAGCAAAATGAAACTACTAACGTGTAAAATTCTGACCAACAAATGTCTTTTCCACATTTGTTTACATATCTTTCTTTGAGGATATGCATTGATAAAGGATTTTTTTTCAAGATCCAGAAATGATTTTTCTTTTAATTTCGGATATGAAATGTAAAATGCATTAAAGAAATAAATTATCAGTTAAAAAACGGGGTTCACCGATCTATTTAGGGAATTGTGACATTAAAACCTGAAATACAAGTAAATAAATATACTACAGACACAGGAACCCTAGCTACACTTTTGTATGCCTTTTTTGAAAACATTGATTTTAACGTAATTATTTGCACGAATGTAACCAAAGATGTTTTGAAGTATAACATAAAATTGTCATAAAATGATTTTTTTTTTAAATGGTACGTATATAATGTTTGAAATTATAAGTTATAAGATGTGCGCAGTAAAAGTACTGCGGAATTACCTTAAGCCCCGTTTACACCACGCTCAACTTTTGGTACGGCACGGATAAAATGGTACCCGTACCACTACCTATTTAGGTAGTCCAAGAACCAAAAAGGTAGCACGGTGCTTTATTGTCTTAAAAACTAATTTTAATAGCTTTGTGTTTTTTTCCCTGACTCTTCCACAGTCCCTCATCCATGCGCGGTACGCGCGGTCGGGTTAACGAAATAAATCTTGCCCAACATAATTTGTCAGAGTTCTATAAATCCCACAGTCATTAGACTTGTGGTTAGGTATTTGTAGGATTGAATTGGGGAGGGGGGCGAATATTCATATATTTGTGTTCACAGACTATAAAAACAATGGATTTCAAAAGAAGTTAATAATGCAGAACACGAAGATATGAACATTCGCCCCCCCCCCCCATTATCGAGCTGGCGGCGCCACTGAGTGAAAGGTGTACAGTACGTGTGCCAGCCACTTTAGCATTCACCAAAATTATGCGCTGACAATTAACCAATCGTTAAATTGATTGATGCAATGTTTGAGAGCAGCTTCAGTGGTGGTGTCCCCAGTATTGGAGTAGAGCCCAACGATTCAGTTCGGCATTATTTGTGAACTTTCTCTCTTAGATCTGCAAGATCATTTGTGATATATTGTGATGTAAAATGAAACTTTGGGAGTTAGGAAATACAATTAATGCATTGATGGACAAGACTGTCCCCTTGAAAAGTAAAATTGCCTGGCATTAGACGGTCTGAGAGTGAAATAATAAGCTTGGGTACATGGCACCTTAATGGGTTCAAGCTATAGGCTTATAAATTCCAGAACTCATATGTGAAAAATTGCTGGAGTCAATTTATTTGACATACCATAATAATGAAGTCATTATGGATTTAAGTTCAATTGCACCCTACTCCAAACTGAATTTAATTATTTAAACTCGATAGTGAATACGATATACAAGCTTTTACTTTAAGTCATTATGCATTTGTGACGTAAATTCCGGATATTTGCATACCAAAAAACCCCTGAAATATCTCAGAAAGAAGGTGGATGAGCAAATAAAAATCTTCAAAATAAGTTATTATGTCATTTCCGAAATTCTTATGAATGAGATGATAAAACGAATTGAGATTAGGTGCACTTTAACAGTAACAATTGAACAGTGGCATGGATTAATACATTGTCGGAAGATTCTGCATCTCTATTGTTCTGGCAATATCAGTCATAACCAATTATGTTGTTTTCACTTTATTTTGATCAAGTCAGTCCGGTTAGTGTTTTGTATAGCCATAAAATATCAATAGTTTTTGACTCAGATAGTTTCTGAATTATCGTGCTGACATAAGCGCGGATGAAATATCTGTATTTCTATGTGTGTGCACGTGACTGGCGAAGGTATTTCAACCTACCATGCACCTACCACCTCTCATATCTGTGCTTATATATGCAAGAAAGTAATGAGTTGGAGGTGGGGTATTGCACGCATAATATTTCATGCCCTTTATATGGTAATGCTGAAGTTAATAAGTATATTTGTGCTTGTGCGAAGTGCTGTGAATATATGTTTCGAAGAACCGTGTTGAATGCTCGATAAAAGTTATCTTTTCAACCAGGTTAACTTCAACAAATATGTCAGATGATTTGTAATCATAATGTTGTGCCTGGATTACAAATCTTCGGATATATTTGTTTCTATATATATATATATATATATATATATATATATATATATATATATATATATATATATATATATATATATATATATATATATATATTCTCATTTTTTTATTACATATAAATGTCGCGTCTCTCGTCCATTTCAAATGACTCCGCGTAATTCTAGAAAAACAAGTAAGAACCAGTGTTAATAAAATACGATAACATGATAATAATAATAATAATAATAATAATAATAATAATAATAATAATAAATAATAACTTTATTAACATAACATTTTCCTAGATACTGTATATATATAATTAATGCACTATATATAAATAATACAATATCTACTACATAAATCACATGCATATTTATGAGAAATGTTATTTATAAGAAGCAGATGGTTTAAATGTTCATTAGATTCGGTTTGCCTATTTTTTGTTTGTAAAAAAACAACAAATATGTTGATTGGACAGCAATGGATATCATTTTTCTAATGCAATACTGTTTGTCATGTTTTGGCTCGCTACTCTGGTTTAAATAAATGATTACAAATCCCATTCGAATTGTAATCAAGACGCAACGTTTCGACACTCCAGTCTAGTGTCTTCATCAGGGGTGATCTAATGTTGCAATCGTGGCTTCTTAAATACCCAAGGGTACTTAAGAAGCCAAGGGTACCTAAGAAGCCACGATTGCAACTTTAGATCACCCCTGATGAAGACACCAGACCGGAATGTCGAAACGTTGAGTCAGGCCCTGATTACAATCCGACCGGGCCTTGCAATCACTCACCCAAACCAGAGTAGCGAGCGAAAACATGATTGATATACCTGGTTGCAGTGAACGAACAAACTTTAAATGTTGTTTGTGTTGTTTATCGAGTCATATTCACCATTTAAACGAAAGTATATAGGATATTCTTTGTCAAACACACCGAGCGAGCTTATGTCAAACACACCGAGCAAGCTAATCATTAATTCAAAAACAGATGCCTATAAGACCTGAAGGGTTATCGTTTTCAAATATCTTCAAATATTTTAAATTAAAATATAAGACATGTAATTCTTACCGGAATGCCATTAAATTTATCACCATCAGAGGAAAAGAGATCAAAATCCAAGTCAAAGCTATTTCTACGATTTTTCAAATTATACCGTGCCTGCTTTCCTTTGCGTCCATTAACAATAACCTGCAATCAAAAAAGCAATTTTTCCTAGAAGATCTTTCATAATTAACGACAAAATAAATACATACTACCTGCAAAATATGAAAACACATCGTTCTTTAGTGAAAGGTTCGGGAAACAACTCAGAAACGTTAGGGTGGATGTAGATTAAAACATTTCTTCACAGAAAGTGGAGGAATATGGTATTTTTGCATGCACTAATGACCATTCCCCAATTAACCAAAATTTTGATCTCAACAAGTCTAGACAAAATTCCATCATGGCATGAAAGAGCATCACAAAATTAGTAATATTCCAAAGTTTCGTTGCGAAATGTTGTAAAATGCGGATAATATATCCTTGGGAAATTTGCAATTTTCAGTCATTTTAGATTACAAACGGGAAATGGTTACCACTTTTCCAAAATTTTGATCTTAACTAGCCTAATCACAGCTTGAAAGAGCATCAGAAAATTAGTAATATTCCAAAGTTTCATTGCAAAATGTTGTAAAATGTGGATAATATAGCACTGCGAAGTTTGTAATTTTCAGTCATTTTGTATTACGCAAACAAGTAGTATAACCATTTCCCGTTTGTAATATAAAATGACTGAAAAACAGCAAATTTCGCAAGGCTTTATTATCCGCATTTTACAACATTTTGCAACGAAACTTTGGAATATTATTAATTTTGTGATGCTCTTTCAAGCTGTGATGAAATTTTTGTCTAGACTTGTTGAGTTCAAAATTTTGGTTAATTGGGGAATGGTCCATTGGTTTTCACAAAGCGAACTATAGTGAATGCAATGGGCGAGCAAAATCCAATCCAATACAATACAATACAAAAGCACTTCCCATGAAAGAATTTCTTTTTTTTATAGATACTTTCCATTGAAGTCACAAATGTTATTCTAATACACACTGTTTAACTCACTATTTTTGGTATGTTCGTCAGTTCTTTTGGAGAAATACCATATAGGCTACTTACACTGAACCATATAATTTCATAGTTTTTAAGAAAGTCATATGCACGGGAAGAAAATTTCAATAAATAATGTTAACATACGTATACAATCCTCCATGGAAAGCATGCAATCAAAACAAGAACAAAAAAATCGCTTTAAAAACAAGAAAAGATTATGCTCAAGAAGAAGAGTTTATATGCTCAGTTCATGCGAGTGAAATAAACAAAGGGCGGAAAGACTCTTGCCCTGTGAGTGAATTTATTCATATGTCATCGTTGTCTCATTTTGATTGGACTTTTCTGACGTGTGAGAAAATTATCTTGCTTTTTTCGATTGGCTAATGTGAATTGCGAAACGAGTTTTCGGTTAAGTTAAGTAAATGTTTTCGGAAAAGTCGAGTATCTAAATAATAAATTTGCATTTTGAAACACCAAAAGTGGAGGGATACGAAAATGGTACGGACATGGATTTATCATGGGAGGAGATTTTATCAAAGATATTTTTGTGTCTAGTGACTTCCAAGGGCGTGTGTTGCGATGAAGTGTGTTATGATTGGTATCGTTTTGTATGGTATGGAATTAAATAGGAAACGTTCATAAATAGATTAGCGTTGGTCTTTTTATCATTTAGGGTTACTGTCAGGAAACAAATTTATTCTATTGATTTACATACATTATATATAATATTCTTCTAAACATTAAATGGAATTCGAAAAGGCAGTTTCATGTCCGCTTCACTACATGTCAACAAAAATTAAAATTTACATTTTATTGTGTCACATAACACTTGCCCAAAACTATTAATAGAGGAAATATTAACCTAAAATGATCATGTTTTGTAATTGGTTTGCGCAAACTAAAACGAAATGGAACAGTGTTTGTTCCTCGTTTTATACTAAAATTATTCTTTAATTGTATCGCCCTTTTTTTTTGTCTTGTTACTGTTGACATATAGGCTGACGGCGACACTATATATCAAAAGGTATCAATAAGCAATCTTCTAAGCAGCTCATTTTATTATTGTCTGCATTTATAACCTTCCCAACGTATAAAACTAATACTCACCACAGCTGAAATAAAAATAAGAAGAAGAAGTACGAAGGCAAGAGAAACAGCGACACCAATCTTCCAAGTTTCGAATCCATCTGGTGGAGTTTCTGTTAAAAGTAAAAATAGTTGCATTACTGCTATTTAAGACAACCATTTATAATTTCCAGTGCAAAATATTAACAAACATGTTATTGTTATATAGAGGTATATTTGCTAAGTATAATTAAGTTTATCCCTGGTCAGAATATTGCCTGCATAAAAACTTCAAGACACGGGTACCACACGGATAAGCACCCGTTTGGCCTAGTGAATTCTCGAGTATGACAATTCCTGCATTATTGCATTATAAACGCACGAGACGCGTTTTTCTATTTCTTTTATAATATAAGATGACGTTATTACCCTGTAACATGTAATCAGTGACGTCACACGCATGTCTATACTCATTGCTTAGCAACAAGCTTGACTTTTCAGGCGGGCGAAGGAAAATAACATTATAAATTTTGGAATTTAGAGTCTAATAATATTTGAAAAGTATCAGAATTTCTGATACTTTGGACTACCTGTCTGCAATTTTAATTATATTTGATATAGAGAGGATTTCAAAAGTACCAGAATTTCGGATACTTTGGACTACGAGTTTCTGCAGTTTTAAGTGTATTTAACATACAATGCAGAGGATTTCAAAAGTATCAGAATGTCTGATACTTTGGGCTACCAGTCTGCAGTTTTAAGTATTTTTGAGATACAGAGGATTTCAAAAGTATCAGAATTTCTGATACTTTGTAATACCAGTTTCTGCAGTTTTAAGTATATTTCACATTTCAGGGATTTGAAAAGTATCAGAATTTCTGATACTTTGGACTACCAGTCTGGAATTTTAAGTATATTTGATATAGAGAGGATTTCAAAAGTATCAGAATTTCTGATACTTTGGACTACCAGTTTCTGCAGTTTTAAGTATATTTCACATATATTGGACTTCAAAAGTATCAGAATTTCTGATACTTTGGATTACCGGTCTGCAATTTTAAGTATATTTGACATACAGTACAGAGGATTTCATAAGTATCAGAATTTCTGATACTTTGAACTACCAGTCTGCAGTTTTAAGTATATTTCACATATAAGGGATTTGAAAAGTATCAGAATTTCTGATACTTTGGACTACCAGTCTGCAATTTTAAGTATATTTGACATACAGTACAGAGGATTTCAAAAGTATCAGAATTTCTGATACTTTGGATTACCAGTTTCTGCAGTTTTAAGTATATTTGAGATACAGAGGATTTCAAAAGTATCAGAATTTCTGACACTTTGAACTACCAGTCTCTGCACTTTTAAGTGTATTTGAGATACAGATGATTTCAAAAGTATCAGAATTTCTGATACTTTGAACTAGCAGTCTCTGCAGTTTTAACTTTTAAATATATTCGAGATATACAGGGTTTCAGAAATCGTTGGTATATTTCGGAAATTGTATATTTTAATTGGGGCATCTCATTGTCTTTAACATTTTATGCTGCTTGATAAGGTGCATCTATATTTTCGCATTTCCAAGATAATGTATTGTAATTTGCTTTAGCCCGCGTGCAGGCCCAAGGGAGTAGGCTCAAGGGAACTTGATAGTGGGCCTGCAAGCAAGGCCCGGTATTTTGTAAAACGCCCCTTTTCATAACACGCCCCATTCGCGCGTCAATTTTCAAAAAAGAACCAATGACAGCACCCAAATATTAACAAACAAACTCGCATTATATTAACAAACAAACTCTGCATATTCAGAACATAAACAATGTGTAAATGGCTGCGTTTTAACTCCAAAAAAGCAAGCAACGCAGTCAGTAATTGCCAAATTTGCAAGTGCTCATTTTCAACTAAAATCGGAACAGGCAAATTAGGACGAATTTCAACAGAAAACCAGTCTCAAACTTCAAATCGTGAGGGAAGTCGTGCGACCACATTAGCATTTATAATGTGTGTTTCTCTGTCGCCGTTGGCATTGTTATAAATAAATTGTCTCACCTACAGATCGTGTGTGCAATTCTTAATTGTTGGCAGCGGAAATTTACGAAATTTATTTCAGTTATTTCATTTGGTAAAGAACTCTACAAAAGAAGAGATCGTTTCGTTTCAAACGGCAATTTAAATATACCGTCTTCTGTTTCGTTCTCTCAGCGAAGCCTTGTAAATCGCAAAGTGTTTCTAATAGGCTTACATGCAACTAAAACTGTCTGTACCAGTGTGGGTAGTACCAATGTGAAAATGCTGTGCTGAGTGGTTATATTACTACCTTAAAAAATAAGTAGAAACTCAATGCAACTGCATCTGCAACTGCATCTCAACTGCATCTCAACATGCAACTGCATCTCAACATCAACCAAAAGATAATTTTCTTGAGGAACATATAACGTATCAAGTCTGTTTGAAATTTATAATGAAACTCAAGTAAAGGTTACTATAGTTTACCCCAGTCGTAATGTTGCTATTCCAACAACTCACGACAAGCAATCCCCACTGGCATAACGGCAAAAACATCTCTTCCTTCTAGTAAACAATAAACAGTTTGTTCTTGTTCCATTTATAATCGAAAAAAGTGATAAATTTTCGAATTTTGAGCATATCGAGAGCCTTTGTGATGAATCACTGACCTAATTATAGAATCCAACAGCAAACAGCCAATCAGAATGCCGCGTTCGTGGGCGAACGCGGAAAGTACAAAATACCGGGTCTTGCTTGCAGGCCCACTATCAAATTCCCTTGAGCCTGCTCCCTTGGGCCTGCACGCGGGCTAAATTTGCTTATTCGTAATCCTCTATTTTTGCAGAAAAAAATTCAAGGTCAGCAAGATTTTTTGAAAACGATTGTTTATGTTGACGAGTTTTTCTATGGAAACAGTTTTCGCGCTTTAAGCGTGATTTTGCATCATGCTTTTTTCTCAAATATCAATTTTTTCGACTTATTTTACAGATAGTACAAAGCCATTCAAACATTTTTAAAACGCTTTTTTATATTTTGTGGAAAATTAGCACAAAATCTGCAAAATGAGAGGAAAATAGCCAAAAAAATGAATTTTGGAAAATGCAAAGATAGTTTGGAACGCGTTATTAGTCTGCATTTAAATTTAACAAAAGTTTGCACTGTTAGAGACGAAGTAAAACTTAATTAAACACACTTCATTCTGGAAAAAGAATGGAAACTGAAAAAATATATCTAGGACATTTTTGAAAATAATATTTACCTTCCATTTCGCAGCGGTCGCCGCTATATCTTACTGGGCATGAGCAAGAGAATGATGTTCCATTATTTGTGCAACTCCCACCATTCAAGCACGGAGCACTTGAACAACCTAAATTAGATTAAAATTAAATAAATGTTAAAATTCATGTTAAGGTTACAGGACACCCTTTTCGGCGTTTTGCGGAAAATCGCTACTGCGCGCTCAACATCAGTCCGATTTGAATCGATTTGAATCAAATTTTCACCAAATGTTCTCCAGTGCATGCATAATATGGTAAAGTTGTAAAATTAACAAATAATAAAATAATGTAAGAATTATTCAGGAAAATCTTAAATCGCGGTACCTTTCCGCTTTTGAGTTGTGCTCCTGCTGGTTTTAAGTTATATTTATGAAAATTTCATTTTTATACAGTAAAATAGTTGTTCTAAAAAATTGTGTTCGGAAATTTTTGTTTATTTCGTCATTCCGCTGATATGGCGAATTTATATTTCTGAATTGTTTGAGTGAATTGCTCTTTATTTTTAAAATATCCAAAATTAAAAAAAAGCCCATTTAGCTATGTCCTTTAGCTATGTCCTTTAGCTATGTCCTGTGAAAATTTGAGAATAATTGGTTAAACCCGCAGGAGCACAACTCGTTTGAAAATCAGTAATTACCGTAAACTATTTCGGTGGAAAATGGAATTTGAATATTACATTTTCAATGTTTTTCTTATTGCAGCGAAATGTATTTTATTAAACATTTTTCGTTCAAACTTGGTCAGATAGTAGAACTAGTCTAATGCTTTCATGGAAACCAATAAAAAAAATTTAGGCAAAATTAACACTCAAAGGTGTTTGTAACCTTAACAAGAGGGTCTCAGAGATTTCGATTCATAGCCTCCGCCAGCAAATTAAGTTATATATCATGCATCAATAATATGATGCGCTAATTATAGGGAAACCGCTTACTTTACACAGCAAAACAAGATGAACTTAACTTTTGCTAATTTATTTAATAATTAATCGCCGAAGCCGAGGTGATTATCGGGGAATTTTGTCCCCGAGCCGACGGCGCCGTGCGAGGGTACTAATTCCCCCCGGCTATTTACACCCGGGGAAACGAAAGCATTGGCGAAGTCTAAAGTTCATCAAATATCGCTGGCGTGGCTCACCAACGATGTTTTGGTGGGTGGTCATCCTCACTGATCTCAAAAATATGGCGGACTGTCATGAATAGCGGACACTGATTGGTCCAATTTAAAGTTTGCATTATAACGACTGCATGACGACAGCGAAATAGAAAACATTTCTTGATTTGATGATTGATAAATTTCTTGCAAATATATTTCATTTTTGCTCGCATTTTTGCAAGATTTTGTAAATTTCAAAAGCTTTCTCGTAAAGAAAGGGCGAAAGAATCGGCTAAAAGAAGGGAGCCGACGTTAACGAAGGTAAGCTTGTTTTAAATATTGGTATTGTATCTTTTACTTTTTGAACTTGTAAGCTGCTTGCAGAATGTCTTCAAGCCCAGGCACAGTTTTCCATGCGAATAATAACATTTACCGTTTTCTTGTGATTTTTGAACTCTTGTTTTGTTTCATATTCATATCAAAGTATAAAACAAACTTACATTCCATAGTTGTCTTGATTTTTCACGGATGTATTGACGTTAAAATCTCAGTAAAGTACTGTTTTTTCGCTTCTGAATAAACACCACTGCTACGGTGTCATATTTTTACACTTTCCACACAAAAAAGCGGGACAAAAATCGGTCGTTTTTCACTATAATTGTTTATAGCTTTCGTTGTGAGCACAAAATCTTACAACACACACAAAAATTAAATTAAACAACAAGAAACAAGCCATCAGTAAAGTCGACAAAATGGCGTCTGAATTTAGCTTGTCGAACAGCTTTCGCTTGTTTTCCCGCGTTTTTCCCCGTATTCTAGGATACGAGGCCTCGATTACGATTTATGAATAAGGTCTATAGCGTCTTGGAAAATCAAGGTGCTGACGTCAGCATTATTTTCGAACGCCTTTGGAAACTCTGTTATACAAAAAATTTTGTTAAAACGTCTTGGTTGATATGGGACTCCCTACCTGATATAAACAAGAATCGAAACATTTTGGCCCAAACTCGCGTCTTTATTTCAGCATTTGATTTTTGGATAAATGCTTGGTGGTATAAAATGGCCAATTTTATACCACCAAGCGCTTATCCAAAAATCGGATGCTAAAATAAAGGCGAGTTTAAGCCAAAATGTTTAAGTTATTGTTTATATCAGATATGAAGTCTCGTCTTCACCTTAACCAAGAACTGTTAACTAAATGTTGTATATAACACAGTTTCTAAAGGCGTTCCAAAATAATGCTGACCGGCAGCACTTTTTTCCAAAGACGCTGTAACTCAGGAGGAGTTAATCCCATTGATTCAAACTTTTTGGTGAGCACTCGTAATAATGATATAAGCAACATATAAAACTTTCTACCTATGTGTGTTATTTGTACTGTGTGACTCACCCTCTCTCTCGACTTGTAAACTTGAAATATTGAATATCGCCGATCCATTATCTCTTGCGTCAGCGATTGGTGATTGAACTTCCTCAGCAGTCGGAATTGGTTCGGTGGAATTATATAATAGTTCAATATCTGCAACAACACTTCCCTGGGAAAATGAATTGAAGATAATGCCAAGAAAACCACGTCTAATTCGGTATAGTGGAAGCAAGAATAGCAGGAATCTCCTTCTCAAATTCCCGAAAGCCCGACTTCGCTTGTTCCGCAGTTCGGGCACGAATGGTTCAACAATTACTATAACAACTGCAAATGGGACAGTTTGTTCCCTTGGGATTGTCGCCTGATTTCCCGATGGGTCAAACACTGTTGCCTCTGTGCCAGATTCTGATGGAGTTTCTGTTGAATAATAGTAAAAATTCGTAAAGTTGTATTACTGCTAATTAAGACAACCATTCCTACTTTCCAGTTCAAAAAAATTATCAAACATGTTATAGAGGTATATTTGCTAAGTATATACCTACACCCCTGGTCA